ATAAAATAAGCAGGTGTATCAGTAGGTGATATGCTTCAACTCTTTGGGATGATGATGATGATGATGATGATGATTACTGTTTGAGCTAAGCCTTTGGGTCTTTGGGAGCCAAACTAATATCTAAAAGGGATAGGCCGCTGGGTTGGGAGTTGTGTGATGTTTGACGGTGTACCTGATTGCATGGAAATTTTCTTGAGGTTGGCAGGTGACCCTATTATTGCTCTAACGTAACCTAATTCATCCTAACACAGGGGCCTTAGTTACGTGGGTCTAAACAGGGACTTGGGTCACCAGCACAGGGCCAGCTTGGGACACAGGACAATAAGTGTCTTATCTCTGGCCTGTAATAGGCCTTCCTGACCTCTCTTCTGCAGAATCACTGAAGCAGGGTCACCTCTGGGGTTCTGGCTGTTCTCTGGAGTCCTGTGTGGGTATCACTTTGGACCAGAAGCTGGCTGTGTGCTTTCCAGAGCAATGGAGTCCATCCCTTTGGGAGACTCATTTGTTGGCCTTGCTAGCCTTCCCTCTCTTTTCTCTTTCTAGAGTACAGGGCCTTGTGGAGAGCAGGCCGAGAGATCATCCCCAAGGAGGGCTCGCCGCCTTCTCAAAATTGTCCAAAGGTGGTGTTATGTGTCCTTGAGTATGGTAGCCAGAAAAATGGTCCCCAGAGATGCCACCTCCTAAACGCAATGACTTGTGAATACATTAGTGTACCTGGCATAGGGGGGCTAAGGCTGTTAACAGCTGACTTTGAGGTGGGGAGATGACCTAGGAGTGTGTGAGTGGACCCCATGTTACCACGGGGTCCTCAGATGCAGAAGAGCCCACATTAGAGCAATGTGCTGGCTTTAAAAATGGAGGAAGGGGCCATGTGCCAGGGAATGTGGGTGGCCTCCAGAAGCTGGAAATGGCAGGAAGACAGATTCTCCCCCAGAGCTTCAGAAAGGAACACAGCCCTGCCCGCAGTGCGATCTTAGCCCAGTGAGACCCATTGCAGACTCTTGACTTCCAGAACTGTAAGATAATAAATGTGTGTCATTAAAATCCACTAAATTTGTAGTAATTTGTTCCAGGAGCCTTAGCCTTAGTAACAGAAGGAGGGCTTGCCTGCTAATAGACTCGTGTTCTTAGCCAGGTCCCACCCCTGGGAAGCCATGGATCTACCTGGAGGCTCAGCCCATTGCCAGCTCATGTGGCTGCTTTGTCCCTGGAGGGACTTGCTCATCGCTGGTGGCCCCACGCCTGGGTTTTCATGACCACACATAAAGAAGGGGACAAGACACAAAGACCAGGGCCAAGCTGGGCAGGAGGCTGGATCAGACACCCACCACCACCATCACCACCATTTAAGACCAAGGACCCCAACCTGGGAAAAGCCTGGATTCCATCATGTCTCAACCCTGGTTCGGTGGGGGGAGTGAAAACATGCCTCCCTGGAGAATGCCTAACCACAGCCACCTCTCCCTGCGTCTCACGCCAGGCTGTGACTGGCCTCACCAGCCTTCCCCCTGGGCCTTCACCCACCCCACCTGAGGCTCTTGCCTTTGCCCACTCTCTGCCCCACCCCGCCGTGCCTCCTCCATATTTTATGAATCAAATTTTTCAGACTTCAAGGTCTAGAAATAGCTGTCGGCATCCTATATCGGCTTTCTAATGTGTCCTCCTTCGGAGGCTGAGTTGAGGGAAGGCATCCCTTACTGCCCTTCCTGGGGCCCTTCAGGAGCCCTTGAGGAGTTGGGTGGGGAGGCCAGGAGATCCCCATGGGCCTCCCTTTAGGATGAGGAGACACCCCGGACCCACAGTTCTGGCTGCCCTTCCCGAGATACAAAGCTGTGCCTTGGGCCAGCCAGTGTCAAATACGTGGGGACTCATCCCTGCTTTGCGGTAGCTTGACTGGCGGAAGACTTCTTAAATCCAAGTGCTGCCAGCTGCTTCCTGCCCTCCGGCTGACTGCTGAAGCCCAGCTACGGTCTCCAGTCACCTTGCCCTAAGACGTCTTCCATCTTCAGATGCGGAAGGAGTAATGACCACCTGAGGCCGCGCCTGCCAGGGGCCTTAATAATAGAAATAATAGTTGATGGGGGCGCCTGGGTGGCTCAGTTGGTTAAGCGACTGCCTTCGGCTCAGGTCATGATCCTGGAGTCCCAGGATCGAGTCCCGCATCGGGCTCCCTGCTCAGCGGGGAGTCTGCTTCTCCCTCTCCCGCTCCCCCCTCTTGTGCTCTTTCTCTCTCTCACTCTCTTTCTCAAATAAATAAATAAAATCTTAAAGAAAAAAAAAAAAGAAATAATAGTTGATGATTGGACACCTGTCCTGGTGTGGTGGGCGCTGTCAGGCCCTGGGCTCCTGTTACCTCCTTGGTCCTCCGTAGGCCCGTGAAGGCTCACGCGGCCGCTGGGCTGCGTCTGTGCGTGTAGTCAGGGCTACCGCCAGAGGCAGGCAGTGTCCCCACTCGTCGTGTGCCCTCCGGCTTCACTTTTCCCCATGCTGGTGACACCCACTCTCGCTTCCCAGGAAAGTACAGAAAGTCAGCAACAGCCAGCAGAGGAAGCGTCTTGGGGGGGTAGCCCGGGCTTGGCAAGGGGTGGCCGCTGGATCCCACACCCCCCTCTGCACCCGGGATAGCGCGGGGCTGACCCAGTACGGCGCCCCTTTTTCTTCCTGCCTCAGCTGCCGACGATGAGACTAAATCTACAACCATAGGAACTGGTTCCCCCAGCTGCCTACTGGCAGCTGCTCCCGGTCCTTCAGCTGCTCTCGGGCCTGCTTTTATTTCTCCTCTGCTCTGGGCCTCTTTAGCTGCACAACGACCTCAACTCCTTTTGTTTTGTTCTGTTTTGTTTTGTGTTTGATGTCCTCGGGCCATAAATCCTAAACAAATCGTAGGAATCCTGAACAATCAAAAAGTTGCGCTGAAGTAACCAAGTCAAGCCAAATGTGGTAAAAAGGCCGTGACCCACCATGGATAAGGCCACAGAGTGACTCTGTACATGAACTTGGAAACCGAACGAAGTGCAGAAGCTCTGGAGAAATTACGCCAGGCGAGGAGAAAATCCTCAACAGCTAGATCGCGTCCGTGTTCCCTGAGCCACCCGCCTTTGGGGAGACCGCGCTGTGCGCCACACGGCTAAATGCCTGTATTAGAGCCTCACCAGGCGGGGCTGCCCGGCCTCGTTGGCTGCTACTCAAACAGCTTCCCCACTAGGCTAAGAAATCTTTTTCCTAGTCCAAGAGACTAGAAATATGTCAAATACACCTCATTCCTGGCAGAGTTGTGGGGAGTTTTATGCCCAAGGGCTTCGCCGACTAGAAAGAGAAGAGTAAACTTTTCAGTAATAATGACAAGATTATCAGAAAAATTTGGAGTGGCACATCCAGGATTCTGCCACTGAGGAGGGGATTTCGTGAGCACAGACAGGCCTGGCCAGGCGCCGTGCGAATTAGATGGAGCGAGCTTCCAAACGCCCCTGGAGAAGCAGGGCAGGCGGCCACCAGCACCACCCTGGGCAGAAGTAACTGCTGTTAGAAACACCCTAATTTGTTCTGCGGCAGAATCGCCGAAGGCTGCCAAACCCATTCCTCAGGCAGCTAGATTGATCTAGAAGTATCGGGCAGGCTCACTTCCTATATCTCTGCTTCAGTCCTTTCTTAGCAATTAGCCAACATGGGGCGCCTGGGTGGCTCAGTCGGTTAAGCGTCTGCCTTCGGCTCAGGTCATGATCCCAGGGTCCTGGGATCGAGTCCCGCATAGGGCTCCCTGCTCCGCGGGGAGTCTGCTTCTCCCTCTTCCACTGCCTCTTCCACTGACCCTGCTTGTGGTCACGCTCTCTGTCAAATAAATAAAAATCTTAAAAAGAAGAAGAAGAAGACACACGACATAGCCCTGCTCAGCCAGGCTCTCCTCGTTCATCTTTTCTCTCGGTGCAATGGGGGTCCAATGGAAAGAGCAGCGCACGACTTGCGGGCCGCGTGCCCAGTGCTACCATTCCCCAGCCCTCCTAGAGTTTCGTCCCCGTCATAACTGTAAAGGCAGGACGAGCCCGGTAATAAAACGCATGCGAATGAGTCCTGTGTGCAGGGCACTCCTGTGGAGGCTGATCCCTGCAAGGTCCCTGAGAAGGTGACTGTGTCCCTATTCTGGGGGGGAAGGAAGAAGCTTGGTGGGCAGAGGTCGCTTGCCCCCGCTGCTTCCACCCTCTCGGGCGATGGTCACCAGCATGTCCCGGTCTCACCGCCCAGGTGGGAAATCGTGCGTTACCATCCAATGGTATTGGTTTTCCCATCCAGGAATGACACGCAAATAGTGGAAGCTTGCCCCCTTTTCTCCTCGGCCCCCTTCCTGCGGTCAGCTCCGCGCCCCCTTACCCCCAGCAGGCCTGGCCGCGCTCCCGCCTCTGGCCCCCGGGTCGGCCTGGCCAGCTGACTGCAAAAGCCAGCATCGGCGTCAGAAAACTTGGTCGGGTGAAGGGTTAAATATGTTGAAATAAGCCTGGCCGTCACAAAAGAGGCGGCATTTACACCCCGTACGTTTATGGAAATACTTGCTGAAGGAAAACAACCACAACATTGTGCACGTCTTTAGGAAGAGAATGGCCAAAGTGTCTTTAATTCACCGTTTACCCGTGAGAATTACTCCCAGGAGTGATCCTGCAATAAAATCTTCTTGGTCTATGAGAATAGAAAGAAATTGAATCAAAAGACTCTATTTCCACTTGTATTTATTCAGTCTGGGAAATTCAGTGGGCCGGAGCATGAGTATCAGCAGGGGATTCCTTGCTCCTAGCGTTAAATTACTGTCATAATCGCTCAATTATTTCTTCCTTGTACTGTTTAAAATAAAAATCCATCACATTCTATGTTTTTTTTCTAGCATTTATTAGGTTGAGTGTTTAGGAAAATCAATTATAGTCAGTCAGGCATGAATTGATGAATGTTCTTGTAATAATTGTCAGTTGTTAAACTGAATGTACTTTCTCTCTCACACTTTTCATTTCCTTCAGAGGGCAGAGGTGGCTCAGAGAGAGGCGGAGACTTTGAGGGAGCAGCTCTCGTCGGCCAACCACTCTCTCCAGCTGGCCTCGCAGATCCAGAAGGCGCCGGACGTGGTGGGTAACCCGGCCCTGTGGGGACTCTGTCTGGGGAATGGGACCTGTAACGGTCAGGGGAAGAGTTTTGCCAATGGGGCATCGATGCTAAGTGGTCGGCGTGTCGCCCGCCGGACGTGGAGGCTGAGGCAGGGGATCGCCGCACGAAAGAGAGGGTCCTCCCGGCTAGGCCCGTGGGGAGACGGCGGGCAGAGGGTGGGCGTGTGAGGCGGGAGCCTTACCGAAATTACACCGGGAAATTGGAGGTTTGGTCTCCACCTCGATATGTCCTTCCACCGTGAGAAAGAGTTGGTGATGAGCGGGCAGGCCAAAGATGGAATAAAGCAATAACCGGCTCCAAGCCTAGATGGTAGCAGACTCACTGCAAGTGCCAACATTCGGAAGGAGGCACACATCTTATGCCTTTGCATGCCTCTTGATTTTTCTTAAGATGCATAAAAATTGCTCTTAGATGCAACTTTCGCAGCTCAATCGAGGCAGCTTTGACTTGGAGATTCCAGGCTCCCGCCTTGAGCGCCGTGCAGTGACGCGGGGCAGCGCGGAGTTAAAACCTGGATATTAGAGCCGCGCCCCTGCGGTCAGACCCCAGCGCTGCATGACTTGGGCCAGGTAGCTTGACTTACCCGGGCCCGGGTTTCATCATGCGTGTTGTAAGAGTTCTGGAAGTTCTTCCAAGCAAAGCACTTAGAGCAAGTCCTGACCTAAAATCGGTGTCAGTCAACCTCAGCACGCACTTGCTGCAGTTGGTCTCACCATCTCTGATCCGGGAGCCCCGGGTTCAAAGCTCAGCTCGTCACCTGTTTGCCCACAGACCTCAGGCAGTCAAACTTGGGCAGGCTCAGTTTCCTATGTGCAGAGTAGGAGTGGCCCCCAGGACCCTCCAGCTCCCGTGGCCTGTGGTGGGTGAGTTGTGCTTGTAGGTGCCCTAGATGACAAAGCGAAAGTTCCAGAATGTAAACCTGTGGGCCCAGAACGCTTGGCCCCGGTGGCCAAGCCAGGACGCAACTGGGACTTCTTAAAATTATTCCCCAGGAGCGAATCTGAAGCAGAGTTTTAGTGTGAGGACCCCTTTTTAAGAACGGATTTTTCATTTTCTGTCCTTAAGTTAACATTACATTATAAAAATAATTAGTTAACTAATTAATGAACACTCAAGAAAACATGATTGTTTCAGGGTACAGAGAAAAAATTTCCATTTAAGGAGCCATCACAACTTCATAGACTCTGGTATTCATTGTACCTGAAACATCCCCTTGGCTCTGTCACTGTCCCTTCATCCAAGCGTGCCTGCACAGGACCCAGCACCAGGGCTGAGGCGGGAGGAAGCCCTCGAGGAAGGAGTCAGTTCAGTCTCTCCCGGCCTCTGTGGTCGCCTGGGGTTCTCGAGAGAAAGCCGTCCATCCTCATGTGTCTACACGGGGCTCCCGAGCTAAATGGTTTTGATTGAAAGGATTTCTGGCACCATCTGAGACTGCAGCAACCAAAACATTTCAGAAGGAAATGAATGTTTTTGCAGGTAGAGTAAGTTGTGGGTCCTCGAGGCGCTTAAACACTTCATCATGGGCTAAGTGCAGTATTTACGTGGCGCTGGTTCAGTCATCTGAGAGCGGCCCTGCCAGGCCTCCCCCCTGGGCCTGCGTTCCCAGTAGCCCCAGCTCCAGCCAGTTGGGGAGCAAACATAGGAAACGAGGCCAGCGGGAAAATGTCTGTTGGGCTTGGCTGGCAGGACTCGGCAGAGGAACAGTGGAGTCTATAGATCGAGCAAAAGCCAAAACCGATCCATTGGGTGTCTTAACGGAATCGCCAATCGTGGAAGGCTCGCCTCTCGGCAGGCTCTTGCCCTGTGGTGGGGGCCGCGCTGGGGCTTGATCTGGTGGTCTCCTTTATGCCTCGGGACACCACTGTCGTTAGAGGTAGGTTTTATTATCCTCGTTTTACAAGTAAGGGAACAGGCTCAGAGAAGTTATTTACCCAAGGTCACACAGCTCAAACCTGATCAAGCTGGAGTTTGATCCTAAGTTGTCTTACTCCGTAACGCACTCTTTTCCCCCCCTCCATCGACCTACTCTCCTTCGTGTGCATTGAATGAGACGGGACATAAGCAGGTCCTTTGTCAAGTATTTATAGACAAATATTAGTTCAGGGCTCTGGTGCACCACACCAGGCCACCCCTTGAACCTAAACAAACCATATATTAGGAAACATGCCTATATATCAGGCGACCCTACCAGGTAAGTCCACCAGATGGAATCAGCCTACTCTGGCCACTTGGTGTTGGCAGAAACACAGGAGGTCAGTAAGAAAGTAGAACTGAGGTCCCCATGCCCTCGTCTTTCCACCACTGGGATAAATATAAGTAAGGTATCTGTCTCTGAGTCTGGGGCCCTAGGCGCACCATCATTTCATGTAAGGTTCTTTTTCCCTGTCTCGAGTCATACTGTTACATCTCATCCATATTTGATATGGAAGTGGCTGCAGGATAAAAGAGGTCATTACGTAGCTTATCTGGGCCTGGGCGTGCTGGTCTCCATTGGAGGACTCAGATGCACGCAGCTTGGGAGGGAGGGGTGGTGAACAGGGTTCAAAGGGACAAAATTCAGTCAAGTCCTACCTAAGTAACTTCTGCTTTTACATTCATTTTTCCCTTTGGACTGTCATCATCTTAAGGCCTTCCTTGTGTTTTTACCATGTTTTCAGACTCTACAAAGCATCTTCACACATCCTGTCCTGGCCCCTGAGCCGTCGGTGGCCCCACCCCCTGGAACCTGGCACTCGTGAATAGTGTAGGAGCCCCTAGAGGTCTTGGAAGCCTGGAGCCATGGGACTAGCCCTGCTGGGACAGACTTGGTTCTGGTGTCCACTGTGGGAAGTCAGTTCTGTTCCTTCCTTCAGAGGCTTATCCCAGCCAGAGTCCTGACCCTGAGCCTCAGTCTCCAGGGGAGGGCCCAGAACCCATGTATTTTCTAAAGCCCCCAAGTGCTTCAGGTACAGCTGAATTGAGGCCCAGAGAGACATGCGGGAGCCAGCAGTCCTGACCCTCTTGGAATCGTACATTTCACTTCCTGGCAGTGATCACAAGAGCGTCTCAAGTGCCTGACACTGACCTTCCCACAGCTGTATAGAGCGCCCCTCCTTTCGGCCCATGTTCACTGTGTTGCACAACTTCCTTTCTAGCTTGTTGCCCAGGCGCTGAGACCCAGGCCCAGACCTCCTTCCACCCCCTGCCCCTTGATCACCTCCTGCGCCCTTGTCTGGTTCTTCTTATCTCCTGCGTGTCTTCGCGATGGGACAGCCAGGAAGTGAGCCCCATTTGGGCTTCGAGTAGAATGACCTTTTCTGTCTCATTTCCAAGGTCTTAACTGCTTTCGGGTGGATGATCTCATATCTTGGAGCTTATGTAAGACACAAATGACTTTGGCTATGTTATGAATGAGGAATCCGGCTTGGGTGCCTGAGAGTCCGTTGAAGTGCCCAAGGTCACACGGCCGGCGTGGGGCCAGGCCAGTCTCGGCCCCTGGAGTTGAGCAGATGGCCCTCTGGGACTGCCTGCCCCCAGGTCCCCATCCTGAGTCCAGGCTCAGCACTGCCGGCTGCTATTTCTACACATATCATTTGAACCACTTATCCCTGGTATATCCAACTTTCACTTGCCCGTGTAAAGCCCCAGCTCCCCATCTGGCTCGTTGTACAGACTCTCCCGGAGAGCACTCGAAACCATTATTATGGCTGGCATCCCTCAGGTTGGAAAATTGATAAATAAGTTAAAATGAGATAATGCGGCTCAATTTCTGCCCTCCCCCCCCCGCCCATGAGACCGACCTCCCTGGATATCCCTCTCATCGTGTCCCCTCCCTGCTCCCCCAGGCCCACCACCACAAGTGCGGGCACCTCTGGCCACCCTCCTGACAAGGCCCACCAGCCTTTCTGCCCCCTTCCCTCCTCACAGCTCACTTCCACATGCTTCTCTCACTAATGTTGTAGGCACTAACCCCTGGCACGACCTGGAGGATTGATCTCAGGTCCCCGTGGCTCCTGCCGAGGGCGGGGCTTCCCACACGCTCAGAGGTCAAGGGTGGGTTTGGTTTTGTTGTTAATTCCCGATCTGTTGCAGACTGGTCATTTTACAAAAGACAGTAAAAGCGTCACAGCAACGTTGAATTGCTAGGAAAGTTTTGAAACACTCGCTCTCCCGTTCCGGGCTTGTCTCCCTGTGTACCGGCAACATTCTGTGCGTTGGCGCCAGTTCGGGGAGCACACTCTGGACAGAACTGATCTGGACGGCATGTGCCGTTTAAAGAAGCAGGCAGGAAGATGCTTGCCGGGGCCACGTGTGTGTCTGCCAGGACTCAGGAGGAATGAAGGCCTTACTTTCCAAGAGAGTACAAACCCAAGGAACAGAAGGGAGGCACTCCTTTGTACACAGAGCTTTACATTCTTAAATGATCAGGTCCTTAAATTCCCAGCAGGGAGAAGTAAAAAATTGCTCCCCTGATGACTGGCTGCCCCCCAGCATGAGAACCCTGTGACAAGTACATTGTGCCTGGCTGCCAGTATGGGCAAGAGCAAGACATGAATTGGGGTACTTCTGGAGGTGAAGGGGGGCATGACAGCGAGGATGATGACACCCCACCCTGTAGCCTGAGCTGCCCCCAGGTCTCTGCTGTCACAGAGACTAGTGTGTCCTGTCCTTCTGTCTCTGTCCCCTGGCTATGCCCAGAAGAAGTGCAGCCACCCTCCAGGAAAGCTTCCAGAGTCCTTCAGGAGCCAGAGTCCCTTTTAAAACTTGAATAAAGAACAGCTTTAGTCCTTGGGACGTAGAACTGACTTTTTCTTCTTCTTCTTCTTCTTTTTTTTTTTTTTGTAACGCCTTTTTTCCTATTCTGCATATTTTCCAAAATGAGCAAATTGGGGGGTGGGCGGTAAGTTTTTAACAACATCAGTTATCATAAGCGTTCCTAAGCAAAGAATTACCAAATGCATTCTTCCACATCTTTTAGCTCTTTTTTAAAATGCTGAATCTGAGAATCAGTTGGTCAAACACCATCCCAGCGTCTGGATAATGCAGTAGCGAACCAAAGGGATGTTGCATTGCATCTTGGTATAGAAAATCCTAATGCTTCAGAGCTTCCAGGGGACCTCCTCAGAGCCTGCCCCATTGGCACCCCCAGCACACAGCAAGACCCTTTCTGTCATCTTCAGATGGTGACTCACGTGTCACCATCTCAGCGAGGCTTCCTCTGAACATCTTCTTAAAACCCCCAAGTCTGACCCCATGCCCCTCCCCCACTTCAGTTTTGGGGTGGCACAGTTGGGGCCCAACATGCTTTGGCATCCCAGACACCTAGCCCCACCCCCTGACTGGATGCCCCGGGACAGCAGAGACTGTTCTCCCTGTGCTCACAGAGTGTGCCTGGTTCCTGGTGTGCACCCAATAAATACTTGTCCATTGGCCAAATCCAGGCGCATTTGCCTGCCATGCAGACGGGAAGGTGGTGCAGGGAGGTGTTGGCAAGTGCATCTCAGCGGAGGCAAGAGATAACGTCACCGTGAGTGCGCTGTCCCCATCACTCCACCTGCACGTTCTTGCCTCCGTTGCCGGCACAGATAAACACAAGCCCCACCCGAAGCCAGGGCAGTTTTGTCATTTCCTTTCTCCTCCGCAGGAGCAGGCCATAGAGGTGCTGACCCGCTCCAGCCTGGAAGTTGAGTTGGCCGCCAAAGAGCGGGAGATCGCCCAGCTGGTGGAGGACGTGCAGAGACTCCAGGCCAGCCTCACGAAGCTGCGTGAGAACTCGGCCAGCCAGATCTCCCAGCTCGAGCAGCAGCTGAGTGCCAAGAACAGCACGCTCAAAGTAAGAGCGCTCTGGGGGCCACGGCTGAGGGAGGGCTGGACGCGCACGCGCACACACCCCTGCTGCCTCTGCCTTCTTCTACATGAGACCCTGGAGGAGCCTGGGGCCGGTTGGCCCAGGGGGTCACTTCTGTCTTCACTGTCTGGGGCACGTGCTGGATGTGGTGACCACCACAAGAGGCCTTAGCTCAGAAGCCACCTTGTCAGCCCTACCTTGGCTGTTGCACAAGTGTTTTTCACGTTTGTGGTCCGCACAGGTCACGGTTAGAACTCGTCCTCACATTAAAAGCAGAAGGGATGGCTCAAGTTTTTTTCAGCCTGAGCTCCAACCATCAGCAAGAGTTTTTGCCTCCAGTGAGAACAGTGGCAGCATAAGGAGGCATGAGGTTCCCCTGGACACAGCTTTCACGGGTGCACAGTTGCTGTCTGAGCTCCTTTCCGGAGAGCATCTTGTCTGGAATTGACTGCAAGTAGGGCAACCTTGAACCTCTGTGAGGGAACTAGAAGCAGGGTCCTGGAGCCCAAGGCAGGGAGAGTGACTTTGAACCCTTCTACCAGCTCTTGCCTGAACGGCACTGCCCTTGATTGGCCGTGTGTTGCAGGCAGCACTTGGTAGAAGGCCCCGTCGTCAGCGCCCACCCATGGTGCTGCTTCCCCACCTGGCATCCCAGAGACGGACATTCTGTGCACCTGCTTGTGTGGGGTTGGAGTGGTTGCTAAGGTCACAGGCCAGCTGCACAGACATGCCTTGCATCCAGCTCCGCCAGCCTTTCAGTATATTTTAAAAAATAATTATACTTGATTTAAGATTTTTCAACCTGCTACAGTTAGCACCATATGAAGAAAATCCTCGCACCCTAGATTCGTGGCATGTCAGGGCCAGAAGGGCCTCTTCGGAGGTATCTTACTTGATGATAAGCAACAGGGCTAGCGAGAGTGTGGGCCCAGCCCCCAGGCCAGCGGGCCCCCACTCTGCCATCCCTCCCTAGCCTGTGCGATGCCCGCCTAGCTTCCGTTTGCGGAGCATGCGAATGATGGCCAAGCCTAGTCTTCATGTACTAAATACAGTGCATCAAGATCAGTTGTAAAAATGTCAGGAAAACTTTATCTTCAGTAAAGTAATTCCAAAATGTAGTTAGGCCCATCTTAATTTTTTTAAAAAACTGAGATTTCCCTTCCCAACGCATGCCCGTGTTTCTGACCTTGAGCCGAGTTTCCAGCAGGTCGGCAGGTCGCGGGCCTGACCTCCCTGACCCGGGGCACCCACCGCTCTCCCTCCCTGGTTTCCTCCTGGCCTCTTCGGGGTGCGTTTCCTCCAGTGTCTGAGGAGCCAGTCCTGCTGATTTTGGGGAGAGGGTGGACACATTTGTCATCGACCATGACATTTATTTCTCCCATGGTTCTTATTCTCCCATCAGCCTGCCCAGTGAGTGCCAGCATTCATTTTTTATTTCTAGATTAAATCTAATTTTCTCGTGTTACAGCCATTTCTGACCCCAGCAGTGACATTATTATTAGATAATTTGCCTTTCTCTGCTTTGTTACAGTTAAGGGGGGACTCAGATACATCCTGCATTTGACTATGAGAGGGAGGCTATAGAAGTTACATTTTTTATTATGGAGCAATTTCTTCTAAATCAGTTAAGGTTTTAATGTTTGCCTTCACACACACACAAAAATGAAACGCAGTTTTACAAATTAATGTTCTTTATCCATATCTTGGGGGAATTCTTTAATACGGTGCAGTTAATGAAACAATTTGGCAATACTTCTTCCAAAATTATCGCTCCCTTATCTTCATCTGATCTCATAATCAAAACATATCCTCTAGTAACAAGACTTCTCTGATTCTAATTATCTTAACCCCTTGTCACCAGGAGTGAAGATCTCCCCAATACTGAACCCGCACACAAAAGGCATTAGCCTCCCCCAGACGAGCACATCTACCTCCCTCACCCGAAGGAGTAAGGTTAATTGAATGAGATACCTTCCCAGGGCCTTTTTTTTTTTTTTTTTTTCCTAATGTGTATAATTTATAGTCTCAAATCTAAACTAAACAGCAATGCGGTTATTAGGAAAAATAGGTTATGAATGAGACCCGTCAAATTGGCAACCTGATGCTTTTGTAATGGGGCTTCTCCGGCCGGGAGTGGCACCTGAACTTCCCCGGGGGCTTTCCTTTCCTGTTCCTCCATCTCCCACCCCAGCCCCCCCCCCAGTCTTTTCCTTCTGGGACCATGTCATTCAGCCCCAGGGGACGCTGGGATACACGGTGCGGGGCTCAAACTGGGATCACCATCTGAGGGTGCTGCGGCTTGAGGCCCAGCTCCGCTGCTTGGCGTTGGGGGTGGTTTTGCCATGAATGTTGACGATGGTCTTTGAGACAAACGCTAACGTGCTTGATGACAGTCACTGAGGAGATGTGGGGGTTGATCTCACAGGGCAGAGTCTCCACTCTCGAGCTTACTGGGGTTTTCTCAGTGCCATACCCTGAAATGGAATATATTTGGGGGAGGGGGCCATTGGTTTGCTTTCTCCGGCACCTTGAAAGTCTCCATCTCTTGCAACTACTGTTTCCTCACCTAGACGATCGATTGGTAATTCCGTGAGGATGAATCAACAGTTGGATGTCTGCCAGTCTCTTTTTCCCCGTGTTCTACTTTCTCAAGCCAAGTTCACCCTAAACACATCGCTATCCACATACAGTGGGGCCCCCCTCCCCTTTAAATAGACAGGGAAGCAGACTCAGAAGTGGGAGATGTTCCTTCCTGCCGAATCTGACAAGTCCTCAAGCACACTGCCGCTTGTGCAGGATCGTTCTGTATTTGTAATTAATGAAGTAACCCGGCTGCCATTACAAGACTGCTTCTTCTGATAACTCTATTCTGTGGGCTTCTGTTGGAGCACTTCAGTACAGAGGCAGTGTAACTAGGCAGTCACCTGCATTTTACTTGCTAAAGCACGGAAAATCTTGCTACCGATACCTGCAATTTAAAATGGCTGTTTATACGAAAGGCTAGCTAAAAGAATGCCCATCTCCCATCGGGAGAAACTGGTATTTTCTAAAGATGAGTACTTCCCACTGGGGATGGAGGGTGTATTAGAATCCCCGGGGGGGCTGTCTCCAGGGGCCTCCCCTACTCTCTGTCTCCACCCCACCCCCTGCCATCTCCTGCAGTTTGATGGGTCCTGTTGAGCCAACCCGGAGCATGCTGTGTCCCTCAGAGGGTTGGGCCAGGAAAAAACGAATGACCACTTCTCTAGATTCACTCAGTTCTTTGTTTCTGGATGCTGGCACTTTGATACGTAGGTTCCCTAACCTACTGCAATGAGGCTGCCTTCAGTCTCGTTTCAAAGAGCGTCTTCTCGATGTCTCAGCCTCAGCACATGAGTAGCCATGATGATGCTCGTGGCCTCGCGGAGGAGGTCTCTGAGGTTAGGAGAGGCCCATGCAGGTCCCTCCGCTGTGCCCATCCCCCAGTAGGAGAGACTTACCCTGGGTTGCACAAACGAGCCCGAACATCAGAAGTCCCAGTAGCAGAGAGCCCGGGACCGGGCCTCCCCCAGCCTTGTGCTGGCTGGGTCTCGAAGGTGGTATGAGCACAGATTCTTGGAGAGGAAGGAGTGAGGCTTCCGTGCGGAGCAGGAGGCCACAGGTAGGCCCCTCCAAGGCGGCTGTAAACCAGGGCGCGTTACTAGAAGTGCTTTCAGGAGCTGATTACTTGTGGGAATCTGTGAGGAGGCCTCTCGGAAAGATACACATTACCCTGGACACCTTGTGTTGGATCCGGGTGTTCCACCTGCAGGCAGCGTCCCGGTGGCTGAGCGTTGAGGCTGGACCCTCCTGGGCTGTGACGGCACCGTTCCGTGAGAAGGAGTCAGCTGCCTGGCTCACACCTGGATCACAGCTCGGGGAAATTGGAAGTGACCTCTGATAGGGTTGCCTTCCTGGGGATCCCCCTTCACTGTCCGGGGTCACACTTCTCCAGCCTGTGGCGAGCCCTCCAGGATAACCTTCCCCGTCACAGTCTGGCCGTGTGTGCACAGGGCCCACCTGGGCCCCCTGGGCTTCCCCTGCCCCCAACACATGCCCGGCATCAGTAGATCCTAAATTTACGTGCCTGCTACCTCTCACCAAGGAATCGTGGAGACCAAATGGGTTCCCCATGCAGGTAAAGGAGGGTGCACACAGCCTCAGCCGGGACCTCAGAGATGACCCCAAGGGGCGGGGCATCAGACCCCCCTCCCCCAGACCAGGGAGCGCAGTCATATGTCCCCATTCTCGGCTGGTGACCCCTCACCCCAGGGGTCCCCGTGAAGACACAGGGTCACACACCACTGCCCCAAGCCTGAGCTGTTGGGCTTCAGAGAACACTGCTGAAAGCCTGGCTCTGACCATCTGGGAAGAAAGGTAAAGGCATCTGCACCCGGCAGCGGGGTCACCTCCCCAGCCCACCATCTGTTTCATGGTAAGGATGTATTACCGCCCTGCCCCCTGCTGTGCTGCCCAGAAGAAAAGCCTTTCCGAGGGTCTCCACATCAGTCTTCCTGCCAGGGGTCCCGTGAGTTGGTAGCCCTAGAGCATTTTAAGAACTTCATATGGATAATTCTTCTAGCAACTCAGGATCCTTTTGCTGAGCACCTGCTGAGCTCCGGGGACCACGTGTGTGCTCTGTATTGCTAAATGGGTGGGACCTACATCCTGCGATGGTCCTGTCTTTGGGAACCCGTTTTCTTACTCTCCCCATTGTCCAGGGGAGGAGCATGAGGCCCAACAGGCTAAGCCGTTAGGAAGTAGAGAACTTCATAAACAGAGCCCCTGGATTCAGAACCGGAGAGCCCCTTCCAAAATCACAGTCCTCTCCAATACCACCCCCCAGGGATAAAGTCCTAATAACACCAGTAACAGTAACCACCCCCCATCTCCAGAGTGCTTGGTCATGTGCTGCTCATTCCATGGGCATTATTCTATCTGGATCTCACCAAAGCACGGTACCATGGGTGCCATTATCCCCATTTTATAGATGAATAAACTGAGGCTCAGAGAAGTTCAGTGTCTTGTTCAAGATCACCCTGCAACTAAGTGGCAGAGCCAGGCCTTGGTTGATCTGTCAGGCTCTGGAGCCCAGGCCTCCAGCGAGCACCTGGCTTGGCCTCCGCACACATAGGTTCCTCCTGGAATTGCAGGGGAGGCGGGGGCGGGGGCGGCCTCCCGCTCGAGCGCGATCTGATTGTAGAACTCGGTGATTTGTTTTCTTTCTGTGGGCACACAGCCACCTCTGCAGAGATGGTGCAGCAGTGAAGCGAGATAGTGTTTGGGACATAGACCCCAGCACCGAATCTGGCCCAGCCAAGGAATACTTGAGAAATCTGGGAGGAGCCTTTCTCCCCAGAGGACAACAGACAGAGCTGTTGCCCTTTCCAGGTGGAGAGTTTTTGAAGCTAGACTTTTTAGGCACCCAGCAAGGAGTCTGGTCAAAGACCCAAGCAGAGGATAGAGTGTGGCTCTGGGAAGTCAGACTCCCAGACGTTGGTGAGGACGGGCTCACGGTGCTCACAGGTCCGGACAGGCTTTGCATCCTGTTGTCTGCCCCAAGAAACGAACACCAGAGGTTTACAGAAGCAGTCTTGGGGTTCTTCTCGATTAAGCTGCCCCCGGGTAGGCGGCAGAAATTTCAGCAGACGATTCAGTCCTCAGCGAAAACCATACATCCGACCAAGTGACAGGACTCCAGTCCTAAATCCTTCTCCTTAGGGCCCCTCACGGGTCTGCAAAGCCGTGCTCCCTGGGAGACTTGGCAGTGGTGACAGCCCCACATCAGAGGCCCCGTGGTGCCACATCCGCACCAGGATCTGGCCCTGTGCTCCTTCCCCCAACCCTTTGAGGTCATTGCTGCCCTTGCATATTTCACAGATGAAACACTGATTACCGTGCCCCGAGGTGTCCCGCTCATAAGTGACGGACCTGACTCCAGGTTCAGTGCCCTGCTGGCTTCTACAGTGCTCCGGATTTTCCCCTCTCGCTGCCCTCCCTCCTGTCTCCTGAACACGAGCAAGTTTAATGTGTTCATAGCCAGCGTCTGTGAACTGCACAGCCTGAAAGGTGCCTTGCATCCCAGCGGCAGCCTATCGTCTTTTGTTTGGGATGGCTGACACACGACTGTAGGGAGAATGAAGTAATCACTTCTTCGAGAGCAGCTTCGGAGACTCTTTTGTCGGAAAATGAGTGTATGCTACCCACCCACCCCCGTTTGATTACGATGAGAAACCATCATGATATATAAAGTTGGCAAGAGGTCATAAAAAGGAACGAGGGCAGAGCACTTTTACATGATGGAAATACACACAAGAATTTGCCAACAAAGGCAATAGGAAAAGATGAGCTAAAATTCTCTGACAGTGGGCAGGTTGAGATCCAGGTGAGCATCACGCCTGATGGGCCAGACGGGCATCTCCTCCCCAAACTCTAGAACATTCTCAGTCGGCCTTAAACTGTGGCTGCAGCCATGGCTGGCCAAGCACTACCTAAAAAAGGCAACTGGGAGCGCTGTGGATTCGGGACCTGGAATTTGTTCACCCCAGGCCTGGAAACATGCTAAATCGTCAGCCATCCCCCGCCCCAGGGTCTTTGTGTTTTATGTGAGGTGGCCTTATTCCCTTCCCCTTCATGGGAGGTCAAGAGCAAACTAGTCCGAACACCCTCGCAGAAGGGAGCATCCTCTGCTGACCACCCAAAGCCAGAGGCCCCTCCTAGCAAGAAAGCCCCACAGAGCACTGCACAAACCAGCCACATCAGGGCCTGTGAGCTCACAGAGCATCTCATAGCCGGGGTGCGTGTTGTCTCATTCCCCCTCTAAGGGGCATTCGAGGGCCAGGGAGTCAGTTGACTGTGCCCAACCTTGGCCCTGCTGACCAGGTGCCCTGCAAGGGCCCTCCTGCGGGACTCAGACAAAAAGACCACCCAGCTCACCGGGCCTCCGCTCCTGAAGTGCCCACGTCCAGGGGCGGGGGGGTGGCGCAGATCTGAAGGTTCAAATGCTTTTTCCCCGATTCCTATCTGATGCCAACACTCAGTGACAAAGGGCTCGTACCTCTTGTTAGCAGGGTCCCACCAAAGGTGTTGACAACTGACTGCACATGTCAGCTGGCCTAATGTATCTCGCGAAAAGCCACACGCTGATGTGAAAGTGCTGAGCACTTTTCTTCGCTCTGTTTGCCATTTCGTGGTATTTCCTACAAAATGGCCTTTTCTCATTCTGTTTTCCACTTTGGTAAAGCTCTGTTCTACTTTGGTTAGGTTTGATATTACACCTTATATTACCGTGTGTGTGTTTGTGCACATTCACACTTGCTCACACCCACACTCACACCAGACCAGAAGCGTGAAGGTCAAGAAAGCAACCCCGCACGTTGGCACCATTCACTTCACGTTTGCGTTTCCTTTCAGGGACAGCTGGATGTTCCCTAGGGACTGGAGTCCGTGAAGGCTGTCCTAGTGCCATAGCAGGACGTCATGACCTGGGCGGTTTAAACAAAAAACTTGTATTTCTCACAGTTCTGGAGGCTGGGAAGTCCAACATCAGGGCACTAGCAAATTCCGTGTCTGCTGAGGACTCCCTTCCTGATTCCCAGACCAGTGTCTGCTTTCCCACCCTGCCCACGCATTGGGGTGCGCCATGGGGTCTCTGTGCCAAAGGCACTGATCTCATCCGTGGGGCTCCCCCTCCGGTGACCCAGTCGCCCCCAAAGGCCACGCCTCCTAACACCATCACCCTGGAGGTTGGGTTGCAACACACGGATTTGGGGGTAGGCGGTAGAGGGACACAAGCATTTGCTTCATAGCGAGGTCCGTCAACCCGTTGCAGACACAGCCACTAATAAAATTCCTCTGTTTTCAGCAACTGGAAGAAAAACTCAAAGGACAGGCTGACTATGAAGAAGTGAAGAAAGAACTAAAGTAAGTGTGGAGACGCTGGTGCGGCCGCCTACAAGCCAGGGCTCGCTGGTCACTTCTCCTAAGGAACCGCTGTGCCAGGGACAGGGCAGCTGCGGGCCCTCGCTCTGGGCCTTGGCGGCCGCTCCCCCACTACACCGTGTCCCAGGCTGCTCAGAGCCCTGGGCGTGTGCACTCAGGCCTGTGCCTGAGCTCTGGGGACTTTTTCTAAGACGCCGTGCATTTCAAGTATGCCAGTATGCACAGAATTAGGGGAGATGGTGCCCTGATAGAAATTACGAAATATGAGCTTGTGTGCCAGCAGTAAGTTCCCCAAACAGGAGCAGAACAGAGAAATGTTTTGTTTTGGGGTTGTTGTTGTTTTTAAGATTTTATTTATTTAATTGGTGGGGGGGGGCGGCAGGCAGAGGGAGAGGGAGAAGCAGACTTCTTGCTGAGCAGGGAGCCCAATGCGGGGCTCGATCCCAGGACCCCAGGATCATGACCCCAGCCAAAGGCAGACGCTCAACTGACTGAGCCATCCAGGTGCCCCCAGGGGAGTGTTTTCCAGTTGAAAGCCTACACGTGGCCTCATACCACCACCCCCCGCCCCTGACCACCTTCAGACACCAGGACTTTTCTTCTCTCAGCTTCCAGTTTCCCATCCGAAGGCAGTAGCTGAAGTCCTGTCACCCCGCCAGCGCTAATGCGAACATTCTCAAGTAGAAGCGCCCGCACTCACGCCCCGCCTCCTAGTGCCTCAAACTCCTTCCCCCAAGGCTGCCCCCGGCCCTCCTGGAGCTCATGGGCAGCCCCTGCCTCCACGGCCGAGCTCTGAAACACAGCAGACGGTCACCGGGCCCTGCAGGCCAGTGTTCTCCGCTGCTGTGGGAACATGGGGTCCTTCCTCTGCTCCCCCCTGTTGGGCCCCAACCCCTCCACAGACACCCCCTTAGCCTCAGGCTCCCCTCTCTGGTGTTGGTGTCTCCCTCCTGTCTCTCCAGGCTGACCCCCCCACCCGCACCCCAGATCCCTTCCTACTCCTCTGCTATCCCATCAGCCCCCCCTCCTGACACTTTTAATTTTTCCTTTTAAAATAAGCCTACACCCACTCGCCATGCTGTTCTTTGTATTCTCAATTCCATTCCCTCGGGATTGCTAAAAAAGCCCACGGGAAGGCCTCTTGGACTTTCCCACCACCAGGGCCCGTCGCCCTCTCTCAGTCATGAACTCCCCCAGCCTCGCTGGCGACTTGCCTGCAGGTGGCTTCTCAGCCCGGTGCCCAGAGGCCCAGCGTGTCTCTCCCTGGACGGTGTCGCCCCCTCTGGCCGCAGACAGCCTTGCAGCACCTCCTTGGACACCCCCCCCCAACACACACACACCTGCCTACATCTTCCCTCTTCCAACCCTGAGGCGTGTGCTATTCACCTGTCTGACCTTCTGTATCTGCTTCTCCTGTCCCCATCGTCCGTCCTTCTGCTCTTCCTCCCACTGAGAAGAAAACAGCCTGTGCCTTCTAGTGCTGAGTCAGAGAAACTCTGATGTGAAGGCCTCCTCCCCCAGCCTCTGCCCATCCACGCAGCTCAGTCCCGACGGTCCTCTTAGCTCACCTCCGTTCCCATGCGCGACACGATCAAGGTCCATTCCCTCCCACGCAGCCACTGCATGCTTCCTCCCAGACCTGCGCCTGCATTCCTAGTGGCCCTTTCTGCTACACATGCACACCATGGCCCCCCTCAGCCCCAGGTCTGCATCTGAAGGCCCCACTCTGATGGCTTTTCTGCTAAAATACGCCCCTGCCCTCCCACTTCCTAGTGATCCAAGGGCCCTTCCAGACACACACCCCACCTCCCGTCCTATCTCTGCCCCAGGCCCCCTGCCCACCTCAGTGGTCTGTAAAATGCCCTGCTCCTTCCAAGCCCTTCTTAGACACTGACTCCTCCTAACACGGACTCCGTCTCTAACCCGAGGAGGTTTCTGCTGCCAGCAGCACCCATCAGGTCTTCTGTGTTGGGTGCTATTTGGATTTTGTCGTCTACCTGTAACAGCCTGTGGAGTTTGCAAGGGCAAGGGGCAGAGCGGTTCTGATCCTCTGAGTGCCCAGCACCCAATAGGTCATCAGTAAAGATCCAGCGAATGAACGAACAGACGCCAGTGTTTTGGGTGTCAGCTTATAGGCTCACTTCAGTCTTTTGTTACGTGATCCTAAAGATCTCAGACAAGAATATAGCTGCAAACGTGACGGCCGTAAAAAAGGACAAGTTCCAGACTGCTCGTCACTTCTCTTCCGGCTGATGCAATGCGGCCCCTGAGTTATTATTTTCAATAGCTCACCATAAAATAAAATTACGAGGTTTCCTTCCTTCCCCCCACCCCCCAGCTGCTCTTTCGTTCCTTTTCTGTTGGTCTGTGGGACACGGGCCACTACGAAGATAAAACCACAGATAAACTAAGCCGTCAGCTTCTCACTGACCACCACAGTGGCCGCAGCAGAGTGGTCTCCCGGGACCCTGGGCATTTTTACGCGGTGCTCTTGACGCTTCCATGGGACTTAAAGAGGGCAGAGGCCAAGGTCATGGCTGCGAGAACGCTGGGAGAGCACAGGTGGCCTGCTGCCGGGGACCACAGCCGCTTTCGCTCGCCTTCCCAAGTGCCTGGGGCCATGTGGACTCACTGTCCTTCCCTCCCAGATAGACTCACAGAAAGGAAGGAATGTCCCTGTGAAAGGAACACTGGAAACAGTGGTTCTGGGCACCTGAACTCCCTCGGCTCTCAGACTTGTGGAAACAAGCTGAGACCGAGGCGGTTTCAGCGATAAGGAGAACAAAGGAGAAACAGTCCTGCTCCCCCGCAGCGCCTGGGGCTGCAGAGCAGGTCTGTGGCCAGCCTTGGAACCAGGCAGTTGGGGACCTTGCTTTTTGCCTATTTTCCCAGGTCCCTGCATGGCTGGCCCCCCGGGGCAGGTGGGAGGGATGAGGTTTCTCTCTCTGGCTTCCTTCTTACAACGTTTTCATTCCCTGTAAGCTTGACAAATACATTCCGCTTGCAACAATGTTACGTCTGTGTTCAACTTTAAAATTATACTCCGAACAGCCCTGGTGTGATTCCATATGGAATGATTTACATGCTGGGCAAGAAACTTTTGCTGGCCAACTGCTAGTTGACTAGTTATTCTAGAGACACTATCAGATTATAATGCTGCCAGGGAGGTTGTTAAAGCTGTCAGTTCCTCCGTTCCTGGAGTGCAGGAAAGTGTAATGTTAGTGCTCATTAGTGTGGCAGTTAGCAAAGGTAGGAGTGGGGAATAACCGCTCTGTCTTGCTCTCCACAGCATTCTGAAATCCATGGAGTTCGCACCGTCCGAGGGCTCTGGGACACAGGTATGCGCTCTCGTTTGCTCTCTGTGTGCGTGAGGGCCAGCTCGCCTTGGTCACTGCCCGTCCCCGAGCAAGCCTCACGCTCTCGAAATTTCCATGGAACCTTCCGCCTGCAGCTGACGAGTCATTTCCTGGGGACCTTAAGCAAGTTCAAGCACATTATCTTTAATTAAAAAGAGGCAGGAAGAGAAAAGTCAGTGTTTTCCAGACGGGTAGCTCAGTTCACATGACGTTGTGATCTCACTTGGGCGGGCACTGAGCACATGGGTAAGACCACTTTTAGATTGTGTCAGAGACCAGCCCCAAACGGACCGACTTCGGAACTTTCTTTATCTGCTGCCTCACGTGGAAAAGAGGTGGGGCAAAATGACCATGGTGCCCGGTAACCTGGTGGCCAGGGAGAATTTAAGGCATCAAATGGAATCCCGCTCCTGATGTCCAGACGGCAGCTGACTCTTTGTGGCTGGTACCAAGGAAAGCTTAACCTTGGTAGCGACCTCCGGACAGGTCTGTGGCTCGGCAGCCAGTCCGCGTGCCAGATGAGGGACGGGTTTAGACTCCTCGACCTTGGGGACGGCATAGAGAATAGGAGTTGTCTAGAAGCCACACGGGTGTAAAAAGAGGAATGACTGCGACAGGAATGCATCCTTTTGGAAAGGCTCTTGAGTGCTCTCCACGCGTGTGGGAGCATCTCCAGGGGAAGGCAGGTTCCTATAACGCATGGGAGTCAGAGAGCGGGCTGCACAAGCCATCGGAGCAGGGATTTCGGGGTCCGGCGGCCCCGGGGAGCGGGCGGGTGGCCGGCCCCACGGTGAGCCCTGCTCTGCCCCATCTAGGACGCGTCCAAGCCCCTGGAAGTGCTGCTGCTGGAGAAGAACCGCTCGCTACAGTCCGAGAATGCCGCGCTGCGCATCTCCAACAGCGACCTGAGCGGTAGGTTGACAGGGTCTCGCGTGCCGTGCTCGGTCCCTTCCGGGGGCCGAGGAAGAGGAAGGTGAACCGTGAGTCTGGGCCGATGCATGACGGGAGCATCAGCGGTTGATGACAGCCTTGACTAATGAGCGCTTGGTCTCCTCCTGGTCCTCCGCACGGCTCCTCCCCTCCCCCCGCCCCGCCTACCGACGCGCACGTCGAGGCGCGTGGCCGCAGGGCACCTGCGGAGGTCAGTCAGGGCCGGTGTTGCAGGAGAGGCCAGGAGGGACACTCAGAGGATGGTGGCCTCTCTGGTCCGTTCCCGGTCGTGCGGCCTCTGTCTTGTGGTGGTTCTGGGGGCTGCCTCCAGCCTCAGTGGAGCTTTTCTTCCTTTCGTCAGGTTTTCCTTGGGAGCGCATCCCCCATCCTTAGCCTTTCTTTGCTCGTCCCAAAATGGTGGCGTCACTGACTGCTTCTGGTTTTGGCAGCTGGTAAACCGTTTAACAGTGTCTCGGGCTCCGGTGATAATTCATTCTTAAAATGTGCGTGCCTTCGATCGAGTGGACTCGGTGCAGTGCATTCGCCTCAGAGCAAGTGGTGTGAGAGAACCCGTTGGTCCCAGAATGTCAGTGTTTGCTGCTCCTCAGGTGGGGCCCTTCTGGTAATAGCTCGAATGCTAGCGGCCCGATAAGAGGCCCCGCGACCTGTCGACTCTTTACTGTGTGTGGTACCGGCTCCTTGCCACTTTAGGGGTTTGAATCTGTGTCGAGGGGACTCTCCAGGCTGCAACGTACAAGAAAGGTGCAAACATGAAATGCATGTTGCTTGTTTCGGGGGGCCTCGTTTGGCTAATTTAAAAATTCAATTGAAAAACAAACCAACACACCTCATTGGCCCTTGGAAAATCTGCACTTTTTTTTTTTTCCCTTTTGTGGGGCAAACTTGGCATTTTGGTCTTGGTTTTTTTTCCCTTTTGAATCCCCCATAATGCATTATGTTTGCCCTTCCTTGTAGGGTCAGCCAGGAGAAAAGGGAAAGACCAGCCTGAGAGTCGGCGTCCTGGACCTTTGCCGGCCTCCCCTCCTCCTCAGTTGTCCCGCAACACGGGGGAGCAGGCTTCCAATACTAATGGTACACACCAGTTCTCACCAGCGGGGTTAACGCAAGACTTTTTCAGCTCATCCCTGGCAAGCCCCAGCCTACCCCTGGCTTCTACGGGAAAATTTGCACTAAACTCTCTCCTCCAACGACAGCTAATGCAGTCCTTCTACTCCAAGGCCATGCAGGAAGCAGGAAGCACAAGCATGATTTTTTCAACAGGTCCATACAGCACAAACTCCATATCTTCCCAAAGTCCATTACAACAGAGCCCAGATGTAAATGGCATGGCCCCGTCTCCCAGCCAGTCAGAAAGTGCTGGGAGCGTCTCCGAGGGCGAGGAGATAGACACGGCAGAAATCGCCCGGCAGGTGAAGGAACAGTTGATCAAGCACAATATCGGACAGCGCATTTTCGGACACTATGTCTTGGGACTGTCTCAAGGGTCCGTGAGCGAGATTCTGGCCCGGCCCAAGCCCTGGAATAAACTGACCGTTCGCGGCAAGGAGCCCTTTCACAAGATGAAGCAGTTCCTCTCAGACGAGCAGAACATCTTGGCCCTTCGCAGCATCCAAGGCAGACAAAGAGGTGAGAGGCTTTCAGGGGCTGGCGCGAGCGTGTGAACCCATCAGGGTTGTGTGGGAGTGTGTGTGTGCGTGTCACGGAACATTTGTGCATCACATCAGGTAAAGTTCTCTTGAGTTCTACCATCTCCAGGGTCCGAGGGTCGGCTGGCGTGAGCCAGAGCCCGTAGACTGGGGGGGTCTGGCCTCTGACACTCGCTCAGCACCTCGCATGTAGTAGACTCAGAACCTCAATCCCGCGTATCGAATCGGACGGAATTACACCCCGTACAACGTCCCGACGTGTGTAATGTCCAGTGGTCCGATGGGCAGTGGGTGCTGGCCCCACGGGGGAGGAGCCCTCAGGTAGCGTCTGGCCCTAGAGCCCAGGCGGCCGCAGCCGGGGTCAGGCCTGGGGAGAGCGTATCGGCCACGTGTCCTCTCCTCCTCCCCACGCGCACAAGGGAGCGTGTCCTGTGGCCAGCCTCCCTCCCGGTGTTAGCTTCTGTTAGCGATTGGCACAGCCCAGTGAGCAAAACACGCCTGCCTTGAGTAAGATACGTGGAAGTTTTATGGAAACACCCTTCCTACCCCACCCTCCACAAAAAGATGAAAAGTCCATTCGCATCCCTGATTGAGAGAATCCCTTCCCCCTTGAACGACAGGATCATTCTGCTAAACCAGCAGTGGTAGAGAGGGGTAGATCTTATCAGACGCGTTTGAAACACGACAAATGGAGCAGGGAGACGTTTCAAACAGCGTCGATTTGCACAAAGCACATCGAGCTTTCTATGGCGATGTTAACTGAAATTGACTGTCTTTGGATGATTAATGTGAGCTTTGTTCCGGGGGCTGGTGGGCGATGCGCTTGGTGGCAGGCGGTGCTCCCTCCGTTTGACCCTCATGGCATTGGTGCCGTGGGCCACTCCTTAGGTCTGTCTGATCTTCCGCAGCAGAGCCATGGCCTCTGCAGGCCGGCTGGCCAGGGAAGGGCCTCTCAAAAGTTTCTAGTAACTCCCGAGTTGCACAGGAAGCCCTGAGCCCTTTCTGTAGCGACAGGCGGCTCAGATTTCATGTCACACAGCCCATATCGTCAACACCACCATCCCCCTGATTGTTTTGTTCTTACCACACTTGTTTTTCAACAGAGAATCCAGGCCAGAGCCTGAACAGACTATTTCAGGAAGTACCGAAACGAAGAAATGGGTCCGAAGGTATGTTGCAGGCAGGTGTTTTTCTTTGCAGTTAGTAAAACCTAGGAAGCAGCATGTCCTTAGCTGTGCATTTGGGTTAAAACTGTGCAGTGTGATTCTGGCCTGGAACCTGATGGAAAAACAGCTAGTAAGTATAAAACAAAGCACGGGCTCAAGTACGCACAGTCCCTCCTGAGCTGCCCACACTCTACCGGGTGCGGAAGAGGCAAGGAGAGAAAGTGCCCCTAAGAATCAGTCCCCAAGTGCCATCCCAACCCCCCCTCAGGTTCAAATTACACCGTCCCCCCCGCCCTTCTCAGAAGCGGGCAGGAGCGTTAACAATCGTTGCTCTGAGAAAAATCAGGTGGCTGAGTCAGATGACATACTGCTGCTTCCTTGTACTTCCTTTTAACTCTGAACTGTGTTAAAGGTACTACGGAGTGGACAAATTCCAACGAATTCCAAACGTAATCGGTTCTCCTCTGGGCCCCCCTGCGCTCCTTGGTGCTGCATCTTTAAAGGGGCTCCGCCCCCGCGGTCTGCTTGTTTTGCAATGGTTTGGTGTGGCGGTGCTTACTTAGTAAGGTAGCGGAGAATTAAGCTACGATACGTGGAGGGCTTCCAGAAAGAGGCGGGGCCAGCCCCCGGGGCCACAGTAGCTTCCGTGCGTCCGTGCACGTGGCTGCTCTGCAGAGCGTCACCAGGTGACCGAGGGTCTTGTCCTGGAGGGAGCTCTGCAGGCTACTCGCCTCATTCATAAATTTTTAAAAGACAGCATGTGACCAAAGAGCCTAAATAGGAAGCCTTCATCCTCTTCGCCTTGTATGTGCCCATGACTGATAGGTAATCCACCTCGACCCTTCACCTGCATTTCCCATCGTTGCTTTTTGGGGACACCAGCGTCCAACAGACGTGCAGAACCCTGAGCACAATCCCAGGCCAAAGCAATTGTCGGAGTTGCTTTTAAGTGACTCCCAAACACCACTGCCTTTTTCAGGCCTTCCTCTGGTTTTGTACTGGAGTGGGTGACCTGCTCTCCCTAATCCCGCCCCACGGGTGCCGTCCAGTTGGGGTAACCGTGAGAGCTTGTCCCGCTGGCCAGATGACCCTGACCACCAGGTAGATTCCGCAGGAAGCCCTTCCTGCCCAGGGCCGCAGTACCTGCTGTGAGGTTGCACGCCCAGCAGGTACGGGTCAACGGGAGGCCACGCCTGCCTCCTTAACCGTCACCGGCCTCAACTCGGGAGCTATTGATCAGAATGACCTCTTCGTGCAGCCCTGATTTTTGTTGGTTGGTTTGTTTCACGTCCGGGTTTGATGTCATGGGTGTGGCTTCTCCCTGCAGGTAACATCACGACCCGGATCCGAGCCTCCGATACCGGATCCGATGAAGCAATCAAGTCCATCCTGGAACAAGCCAAAAGGGAGCTGCAGGTGCAGAAAACTGGTACGGAATCCACTTCTTTGACCACTGTCTTCCAGGGTTAATTAGAAAAATTGTCATGAGTGTCCTGGTTAGCAGTATTCAACTTTAAAAAAAATAAAGTGAAAACCCCACACAATAGAACGTGTGTTTTCAGGCACTTAGGCAAGTGCAGAGGGGAGCAGAGGTCTGCGTGATCTTTTTCTTTTTCTTTTTATCACATCACGCCCTAGCATTGACTCAAGAAGGTATCCCTGGCCTAGTTTGTCCTTATACTTACGTGGACAGGTAGTCTGTATCAAATTGCCTTTTTCAAATGCCATACGGGCTTTGTTATTTGGATATATCCTTGACTGAACCCCGAAAAAGGATGGGTGCAAAATAAATCCTAAGCTGCTTCGCAGAACGAACGTTGCTAGGGAGGAGCAGGAAGTTGTAGTAGATGGATGTCCACCTCTGCAGTCAGGCGGCCTCAGGACTCGGCCCTCGGTGCTCCCTGAGAGCTGCCTCGTCCGACAAGAGAGAGCCGCCACGCTTCAGCCTCTCTCTGGCTGAGTTTGACGGCAAGGCACACCGGCCGTAGGTTCAGCTCAGACCTGCCGCCGGAGAGGAGACCGAGTGCCTGGGTTCTCTTGCTCTGGGGTTCAGCATAGGGACGCACACCCACCCCGTACCCGTGAAGCCCCTGCTCTGCAGAGCCGCTCCCCCGCGGACCTGGTCACGGGGCTTCCGCCAGGCCTGGTGGCAGGCCACCACCCAGTCCCTCCCCTGGCCACGAGGCCCTTCCCCCAGGCCACCCCACTCCCACATGACTCATTCAGTGGTGAGCCCGGAGCTCCCTTCTGGGAACTAGGCCTGGCCTTGGCATTTTTACCTCCCCTGTCCTATTTAAACTAGGTCCATACCCTTGCCCTGAAAGGTAGATACTGTTATCCTACTGCTGATTCTCAAACTCAGGCTCCAAGTGAGACTTACTAAATGACAGGTCCTGGGTGGAAACCCAGGTCTCTCAGCTCTTGTCCCAGCACCTCCCCCTCTGCAACCATCTGCCTCCTTACAGGGACCCCAGTGCGGTGGGTGGGAGACCGTCCTGTGAGGCCCTGGGGCCTGACACTGGGGGGACCTTCCATTTGATGTAGTTCTTCCTCTCCAGACCAGGGTTGACATGTAAGCCAGCCCCTCCTCTGGGTGGCTGAACAACCAAGAGGCTTGGCCGGGCCCCCCGACAGGGTGGGAGACAGCCCCGGATCGAGAGCAGAAGGGCCCGGTTTCTCCCGCAGAGCAGTGCTGGTTCTGCCTGCACCCTCGGGTGCTGTGGGGATCGTGCAAGTCCGAGAAGCAGGGCCCTTGGTCAGCCGGTGAAATTAAGTCCTCGAGAGGCCTAAAAGGTTGTCCCTGTTATTTGAAGCATTTTTCAGCCTCATTTAAAGTGGATAAAGAGCTGGATCCCGTGATTCCGTCCCCGAGATGTGAAGGTGTCCACGAGCTGGCACCACCTGCGGGAGCGTTCAGCCCGGCGCTCCTCAGCCAGGGCCTCGCTGCACAGTCGCCCGGGAGCTGGTCAAAAACGCGGGCCGCTGCAGCCCCACACCTGCTACTCAGGCAGACCCTCCAGGGCTGGGCCTGGGCATGTGCATTTTAACAAGCCCAGCGGGTGATTCTGAGGCACAGCCCTCGTTAAGGGTCCTCGATCTAACCCACCACCCATCCCAAGCTCACAGACGGAAATCCCGAGGCCCGGCCGTGCCCTCTGAGTCCCCCAAGGTCGCAGCCCTGGGTTCCCGGGCCAGGGCCTGGCCGCTGTCCCCCCATCGTGGGCCTCGCTGTTGCCGGCCACACCACAGTCACCTGCCCAGGGGACAGTAAATGTGGGCCAGCCCAAACACGGCCGTGTCTCACTGGAGACTCCGGGCTCACGCTGCAACCCTTAACAGAAATTACGCCTCTAAAGGTTGACCCAAGCACTACAGTTCTGGAATTTAGCACACGAGAATATTGTTTAGAAATCCTCAGGGGTGATGGCACATCCCTGAGCGTCTGCCCACTTTCCCCGCTCCCCCCACCACACACACTCGGGGATAATGAACCCTTTCAGATGGCGTGAAGTAAAGGCCAGCGGGTCTCAGAGCGGTGGCGTTAGTCCGTCTGTCCCTGCCCGGACAGGATGCACGCGGGGTCCACTGACCGAGGAAATGCTGGTCCAATTCGAGTGGCTTGGTTGTCCCAGAGAATCCGCATTTTGTGGGAGGCCGGGTTAGAAGGAAGCGGAGGGAACAACAGCGCGCTCCCGACCGGAGGGCTCGGGCCCGCCACCACCTCACGCCTGTGTTTGCTCCGTGCAGCAGAGCCCGCCCAGCCTTCGTCCACAGCCGGCAGCGGGAGCTCGGACGACGCCATCCGCTCCATCCTGCAGCAGGCCCGGCGCGAGATGGAGGCCCAGCAGGCCGCCCTCGACCCCGCCTTAAAGCCCGCGCCGCTGTCCCAGGCCGACATCGCCATCCTGACCCCCAAGTTGATACCCTCCTCGCCCATGTCATCCGTGTCCAGCTACCCTCCGCTCGCCCTGTCCTTGAAGAAGCCCCCCTCCGCCCCCGATGCCGGTGCCTCCGCTCTGCCCAACCCCCCGGCCCTCAAAAAGGAGTCCCAGGACGCGCCCGGGCTGGACCTCCAGGGAGCGGCCGAGTCTGCGCAGGGGGTCCTGAGACACGTGAAGAGCGAGCTGGGCCGCAGCGGCGTGTGGAAGGACCACTGGTGGAGCACGGTGCAGCCGGAGAGGAAGAGCGCCGTGCCCCCCGAGGACACCAAGTCGGAAGAAGCCATCGGCGCCAAGGAGAAGGGTGGCGGCAGCCAGCCGCGGGCCGAGCGCAGCCAGCTCCAGGGACCCTCGTCGTCGTCAGAGTACTGGAAGGAGTGGCCCAGCGCCGAGTCGCCGTACTCCCAGAGCTCGGAGCTGAGCCTGACCGGAGCCAGCCGCAGCGAGACCCCCCAGAACAGCCCCCTGCCCTCCTCCCCGATCGTGCCCATGTCCAAGCCCGCCAAGCCCTCGGTCCCTCCGCTGACCCCGGAGCAGTACGAGATCTACATGTACCAGGAAGTGGACACCATCGAGCTCACCCGGCAGGTGAAAGAGAAGCTGGCCAAGAACGGCATCTGTCAAAGGATCTTCGGGGAGAAGGTAAGGGGTTGGTTCAGGGGCCTGGCTTTTGCCGTCTCTCTGGAGGACGTGGCCATAGCCCCTTTAGTGAGCCACAGAGCAGAAAGGGTCGCCTGCCCCCAAGCTTGCGGAGAAGCTGGCCGGTGAATGTTCCATTTGCCGCGTCCCCTTAGGGGCGAGACTCTGGGCTAGGCCCCGTCACCCACCACGCTCCTTTTGACTCCCGGTGACACTGTGAGGGGGCGCTAAAGTCGCCATCTGACAGATAAGGACAGTGAGGCTCAGGGAAGTCAGCTACATGCCCCCAGCCGGCCGGTGGCTCAAGTCCCACCTCTCTGCCAAGTGTGGCCCAGACACACCTCCGCAGGCTTTTTTTTGGCCAAAAAAGATCTGAGCCCATAGGGAGACCACCAGTATGCAGAGAAGCAAAAGGCACAGGATAGGAAAAGCTTGTGTCACGTGATAGGCATAATCGTACCTTTCTCATAACTCAGAAGGCACTTGGTGAAGCGACCTGCCCAGAATCCATAGCTCATGCGGCCCGGGCCATGCCCACAGCTGGCCCTAAAAGCCCCCATTTCCATGTCTTCCCTCCCAGGCTCATGAAAGTACAGTGGTTTGTGAGTAAGCCCCCCCAAGACCCTTTCTGTTCTTGGCACTTCCCAGTAACAGATTCTGGATAATGGGGATTTACCAGGGCCGTAAAATAGAAGATAAACATAATACCCCAGCATCATTTCAGATTCAGTAAGTAATTACTGAGCATAATGAGAAGCACTCCACTCCCCTAAAAGGCAGCCTCCCTGAGGGGCACGTAGCGGGGGCGGTAGTGGCCTCCAAGGGGCCCCACGCAGGGTCTCCGTCCCCTCCTGCATCCCCCCCAGCCCCACACTGTCCTGCCTTCCATTCAGTGTTTGCAGCGTACCGTGCCTCAGATCCTTACAACATCTCATTGTGATCTCTTTGTCCTGATTTTGCAAAAGGTGATGGGGTGGAGAGACGTGAGGATGAGAATTTAAAGTCCCTTGAAATTTCTAGTTCAGTGTTGTAAAAATATCATTTGAGAACATTTAAATAGACATTTGTGCTCATGCCTTAAATTTAGCAGAGACTTAATAGCGTTGAACTTGTTTGGCCCGTGAGTGCAGTTTATTCTGGAACTTGAGAACTTTTCAAAAGAGTGATCGAATGCAGCCCCTAAATATCTCTGGGCTGCATCTGTGTCCTGTGGGGGGTGTTTGTGCCCATACATATGTATGGCCATATGTGAGCGTTCAGAAAACTCGGGCATGTACGTGCAACTTGCCGGTCGTCTGCAATGAGTCTTACCCCCAGGCTGGCGCCCCCGTCGCCGCCGGCGCACCTCTGGGCCCCCACTGCAGAGCAGGATGTGGTCAGAGAGAGCAAACCTCTCTAAAGGTCAGCCTGGCCCAGCGCCACAAAGACGACTGGCCTCCCGCATCCCGCCAACATCCGCTGCTCCGGCCGCTAAACGGGTCTGTGGCCCCAGCACCTCCACCTTCCGTGACACCACCAAAGAGCAAGATGGTTTCAGCGCTTCCTCCTCAGGGTGTTGGGACGACAGCCCCGCGGCCTCGGCAGGATCAAGGCCCTGGGCGAGATCCCATCCCCTCTCCCTGGGAGCAGATAGCTAGGACTGTAACCGTGGGTTCCCCGCGCCAGGGCATCAGCCCACCGGTGACCTTGAAAGCTGATTCCCCCGCCCCAGGCTGGCGCCATCCACCAGGCAGGGACGGATGGGGCGGGGGCAGGGGTCTGTGCTCAGCCCCTAAAGTGCTCACTGGGTGTCGTCCGTCTCGGCCTCTCCACGGCTCTTTGTGCATCGCTGGCGGATTTTGTGGCCTCGCACTAAATCCTGGCCACTGACGCCATGCCTTTGGTTGCCACTGCAGGTACTGGGCCTGTCCCAGGGCAGCGTCAGTGACATGCTGTCCCGGCCAAAGCCTTGGAGCAAGCTGACCCAGAAAGGCCGCGAACCCTTCATCCGGATGCAGCTCTGGCTCAACGGCGAGCTGGGCCAGGGTGTCCTGCCTGTGCAGGGGCAGCAGGGGCCAGGTAAGGGCAGCCCTGCCCTGGGCGCCTACGGGTGGGGGCGGGGAAACACGCGGGAGGCCGCGAGCTGCCCCCTTCCTGCACAACCTGTTGCCATGAGACCGACTTCAGTTTTGAGGGGAGAGAAGATTGTGCCTAGCTAATTTTATAAGCAGCGGAAAATGAGTTACTAATTAAGAAAATGCTGTTTATACATAAATATAAGTAAAAGTCAAGTAGCTAAATCAGGGAATCAGGAGAGGAAATCAGCCAAAGGCACAGAGGTGAGAGATAGAATGGGCTCCGGCTTCCACCTGCTCCCGACCAGGGGGTCCTGGCTTTTCCCTGGCAGAGCAGTGCTCGCCTGCATGGCCCCGAGTTCTGGCCGCCCCCCGGAAGGAGTGGGACCTTTGGGGCCCTTATGCTGTCCCTGCCCCGCTGCGCTGGGTGCATTAGGAAGCTTTAAGCACCTGGGGTTTGTTTCCTCATTTAATTGTAACCCTTTGTCTTATTTAGTTCTCCATTCTGTGACGTCACTACAGGACCCCCTGCAGCAGGGCTGTGTGAGCTCAGGTAACCAGCTGATTTCTGTTGTCTTGTGTGAAATATTTCCCTCCCCTGTACATTTTCCTGTCCTCTGGTCTGTAGCCGGGAGACTCAGAGGATCCCTGGCTCTGGATCTGAAAACACCGTATCCCGTTGGCACGTTAGGTTCTCGTGGTCCTAGTTTCTAATGGAGACCGGGAGAGTCGACAGCTGAGTGAGGGTTTCCTCCAGCGTTTTCCCGCTCACCACCAAAGTCTTTCATCGGTCTGTGGCTTCTAGGTGTGCAGGCCTGGGGGCTGGAGTCCAAGTCAGAGACAGATTCTGTACCCGGGGGGGCTTCCATATGAATGGGAGGGGACAGGATCGGGCGCACGATGCTCCCCCAGCAGGGTCATGGCGGGGAGAAGTTGAGCCCATCTGGAAGAACTTGGGGCCACCTTCAAGCAGGAAGGCTGGAGAAGAAGCAAGCGGCCGGCAGGGTCACAGAAAGGAGATGACAGAGGGCCCCTGGGAGCCGTTTGGGGTGTGAATGGATACAGAGCCAGTGATGTCCGGAAGAGTGGGGCTGAGGATGCGAATCCAGCCGGGAGGCGGGTTGGGGTGGGGGCGCCTGGAGGGCCCGCCGGCTGGGACCCTCACCTCATCTGAAGCCCCGAGGTCTCTGAGGCGGCATCTCTGCCCTGCGGACCCCTTGCGGCGGCACCGTGCTCCCGGACCCCCTCGCGTGTCCTCCCCACGCTCCCGCTAGCGCAGAGCTTGGCTCACCCAGCTTCCAGGAACAGCCAGCATCTTGAGCTGCTCCTCGTTTTTCCTTTATTTTTCTAAACATGTTGATTAGTCTCCATATCCCATTGATTCATTGAAAACACAAACAAAGCTAAGTGAGGAGCGTGAAGCCCGCCAGCCCGCTGCAAGTTTTACGAGGGGAAACATGTGTAGCACGGGGAACAGCTGGGCGGCAGCGGCCGTTACCGCTGCGAGATGCCAAACCCACGCACAGATGCAGCCCGAGCGGGGCACTTGCCGCAAAGTTCCCGGCTGAGCTTGTGCTCGGGGTGTTCCCGATTTGAATTTGACCAAAATGGGGGTGTGGAAGGCCATACCGTACCTGGATCGTTGGTCTCCTTGGCTGGACATCTATGTGGAGAGGTTTGTCCACCCGCAGAAGGATCCCAGGTACTTCCTTCTCGCGTCGTTTCCGGGTCGCTCAGTTTCGTTAGCAAGCCCCAGAGAACTCACCTGGCCCTGGCTGGCCTTCCAGATGCATCAGGGCAAATAATGCACAGAGTCGTTTGTGTCAGAGCTTTGCAGACATTTGCGTGGAAAATCAGCCTTGCCTCTTACTCCCGCAGAAAGCTGGCCTCCCCTTAAGCCCTCCGAGAGTATTTGCTGCCCCACCAGAGTCAGGACTAAACTTGGCAGGATGTGACGAACGTTTTTTAGATCAAAATCGCTTATTCCTAAATAAAACGTGAAGTCTCCTGCAGTTCCAGGTCAGTTATGATCGATGCCAAAATCTCCTCCGTGTGCGAACAAATCCTTAAAAAGAATGGCCTTTCGCTCTTTCATCGAACGGCAGGTAGTTGCTACCCTGTTGGAACTTCCATAGTCACATTCCCAGCGTGGGAAAACCATGCCGGGCTCCTCAGAGGGACGTAAATGGTATTTGTAAGATATCGGATTACTTTATAAAATAAAGCGATGCATAGAACTCGTGGAGAGTCTGCAGATTGGCGGAGGCAGGGAGCCTCTGGATAAAAGTGAGCACTGAAGAACTTCTCAGTGGTTTCTGTGAAGAGGTAGCAGGCGGGTCTCTCCCTGTGTCTCCTCAGCCAGACGGGGAACGGATTGCAGACCGTTTCACCCACCATGCCCGTTGTCAGTTAGCAAGAGGGAATCCGTAGAAACAATAAGCATGATGATTGTGGAGAGAAATGGAAAAATATTTCATATATCCTAGGAAAATAAAATTTTTTTAAGATTTATTTAGTTTAGAGAGTGCACACGCATGCGTGCAAGTGTGGGGAGGGGAGGCGGACGGAGGAAGAGAGAGAATCTCCAACAACTCCCCACCGAGTGCGGAGCCGGATGCGGGGCTCGATCCCAGGACCCTAAGATCATGACCTAAGCCCAAACTAAGAGTTGGACACTCAACTGACTGAGCCACCCAGACACCCCTAAACTTTTTAATATCATGATGGTAGCTAAGCCAAAATGTTTCTCTGGATTGGCAAAGACTAGAAAGTCCTTGTCAAAACAAGAAGGACGATTATCACAGTGGCAAGATTGTGGGTAGTAGTTTTCCTTGTTTGAAATTTCTTTACTATCAGTGTTATCCTTTCAAGAGTATTTCTAAAAATCAAAGTAGTTGAGCTTTTCAGTATGTGGAATTTAGATTCGGAAAACAGAATTATTTTACGATGATGAGTATTGGTAAATCGTCAGGATGGATGCCCATAGGAGACTCCAGAATCTTCCCCAACAGAGTAGAGAATCAGTGTCTCTGAGGAGAGCTTCAGCAATGCTGCCCCAAAGGTACGGTAGTGAAGCCCCCGGTTCTAGGATTTCCCCAGGATTCTGCTTCTCTCTTCTCACCATGGCTACCACGGAATCCTTCCAAGAGGCCCTCTGGACCTAGAAAGATGCTGTCCTTGGTCATGGCTCCACGAGGCCTGTGTCGAAGGCGGCTCAGCATGGTAGAACCAGCTGCCTGCGGGAAGATCAGTCCAACCCTGGGTTGGTTGGTTCCTGAACATTGGCGAGAAGCACCCATCGTGTGAGCCTCCAGGCCTCTGAGCTGGCCTGGTGGTGAGGGTAGCCTCCCAAGTGTGGAAGGACTCTGGAAGACTGGCCTTCTGTCCACAGCCCTTCAGTGAGATAGGTATGGTCTCAGAGCAGAGAATGAGAGGGTCCAGTGTAGGGCTCTGTGCTCAGTTACCATGGCGATAAGGTGCCCACGAGTAGAGTGGCCTCACTCATCTGAACAGCAAACTGCTGACGCAAGAATCTGTTTGCCTCACTAAAGAATTCCTGTCTGCCTCTTTCTGCCCGGCGCTGTCACCCCTCAGGGTCTCTGTTTTCCTTAATGATCTGTATGTCAAGCTTGCTGATGAGTTTTACAACGAGAGAGAGACTGAATTTTGAATTACATCACCAGTTCCTTTTGGTGACCGGAACCATTCGTGAATGTTCCTTTGATGATCTGAGCGTTGGGGCGACAGCCTTGGACATTCAGGAAGGTTGATGCCCTTTTCTGCTGGTGACCTGTGCTTTTTCTTGGACGCTGTGGGGGCCTTGATGAAGAATCAGGAGAGCAGGGAGTTCCGTGCCAATCACATGAGTACCTTTAAAGGTGGGGGGGGGGGGGGCCGGTTAAAGGCCAGAACTTCCGATCAGATGCTTGTTAATGTATTTCCAGGCAGTCTAGTCCTCTGCAAACATTTTTGAGTTGGCTTCTTTCAAAGTTCCCAGTGTCTTGGGGCGGGGCGTCTGCAATTCTATCCAGGGTCGTCTTTGATCGAAGATGGCAAACGTATTTAAAGGTGGAGTTGACGGGGAGGCCTTTGGGGATTGATTCTCCACGTCTTCCTTTTGTCTGTCTTCCATCCCAGGTATCGAGCATCAGCCGACCTCACACTGCTTAGCAATCGCGGGGCTCTGGGGAAGCCAAGAAAGCACTTACAGAAGGGGTGGGGCTGTGAGGCTTGTTTTCTCTGAGTGGGGCCTGCTCTCCATGCTTATCAGGCAGCAGGCTTTTTTAAAGGGAAGAAAACCTTGAGGTTCAAGGAAGGGAGTTGCGTGCGTGCATACGTATAGCTAGGTAGGTAGGTAGGTACGTAGATCAGTATGTAGATACGATCTAGTAAACCACTGGATTTTTTTTTTTTTCCATTTTCCTTCCCTGAAGCTCATTTCATATTCACAGTTCCTTGGTGTGATTAATCTTTTTGCCCCAAGGGAAGGAAGGAGACTAGAGACAATCTAAAAGGGGCAGAAAAAAAAGGGGGGGGGGGACAGATTTCCCTGGATGCGACGTCAGTCATTACATTACAGAGAACAAGCGCGCTCCGCTTTGTACGCGAGAGCATTTGGTTACTGTAGCTAATAAGCTTCCACTCCGGCCTCAGATGGATTATTGCAAACTGTCTAAGCGATAGGGTGGCCCAGCCTCCTCGGATTAATTCTAAAACATCCAGCTTTTTTCCCAATGTGTCAGTCAGGGACTGTGGGTTCCAAGTCTTCTCCCCCCGTGGAGAATTCCATGGCTCCGTGTCACTGTTCTCAGTCAGCAGGGCATCAGCTGCCTCTTGAGGGGACAGCTGCTGCAGTGTCTTGAACGTGGGTGGTCTCACATGTGCCCCCTCGCTGACATGATGGCCACGGGCTGGGTGCTGTACGTGGCCTCATGCACCCAGGAGAGTCCCGTGGCCACAGCCCTTGGTGAGGGACAGGCTGACATTCCTTTGTAATATGCATAATGACTCTCGTTTCGTGCCCGTGAGATGACCAGGAAAATATGTCCAGGGTTTTAGCGCTTTGAACTCAGTAATAGGATTCTCATGCAGGCATTTGGATAGCGTGTTAATAGGAAAAGGAGGGGCTAGTTGCACCCCCCAGAAGATTCCATGGCACTGTCTAAAATTCATCATCCAGTGCCTTAGACTAGACTTGATTTGATTTTTTTTTCCCCTTTTCTTTTTTTTTTTTTGATCTTATTTATTTATTTGAGAGAGAGAAAGAGCATGAGCGGGGGGAGGGGCAGAGGGAGAAGCCGGCTGAGCAGGGAGCCCAACATAGGGCTCAATCCCAGGACCTGCGCCAAAGGCAGACGCTTAACCGACTGAGCCACCCAAGCGCCCCCTTCTCTTCTCATCAGAATAAATTGACAATAGTAACTGCTGGTTTTCTCCAGAAAGAATTACTCTAACTCCTGAAAAGATTTGTATATAACTGACTTATACACAGCCACAGACAACAGACAGACAAAGGAGAATTCTGGAAGGCCACGTGTTAACCAGAAAGTGCCC